AAAAACAAAACAAAAAACTAAAGTCAAAGCACACAATATAAAACTCTCTCATTTATACTATTACAAAGAGTGACTTACGATGGTGCAGATTCACAAATCTCCAACAACTATTTCAAACCTCCATCTCTGTGCAGCAGCCTGCAGGATGGTGTCATCTGTAGGTGCTGAAGAGCTCAGTCCCTCACTGGTCCAGACTGCTGGCTCCAAACCATTCAAAGAGTTCCACCTGTTCACCACCTATAAACAAGACACACACACACACACACACACACACAGGCATGCTAGGTACGGAAAACAAGGGCACACCCAAACTGTAAAATAAATAAATAAATAACACAAAGGTGCCAGTCAGGGTATAAGACTCTTGTCTGGTCTAAAATGTAATAAAAAAAAAAAACATACAGACACATTGTGACAAGTCTAGAGGAGACAACTTTTTATGCAAGCTATATAAAAATAATGTATAAATAAATAATGTAAAAAATGTATGTCTACCTTAGGGGGACTTCTGACACTGAGAGGAGGCCAGGGTCTCATAGTTAGGCAGTATGAGGTGGTTGAGGTGTAAGCAAGTCTCCAGATGATCACCAGTCTTTGTGGATCTGTTGTTGGACTTGATGATTTTCATGTGAGAGAAAGCAGACTCCAGAACTCTCCATCCATGTGACTTGTTGCTCTGGATTTGATCCCAATGTCATTTTGCAAAGTCAAAACCTAATTTTCAACCCAGAGCAGTCCAGACTGAAACACTGACATGAATTTGGACACATCCATCCATCCTGGTGGACAACTGCACGTCTTTATAGCAGCCACAATCTCACTTTTATTTTTAAAATCACGGAAAAGCACGTCTGCAGCATCAAACTCTTCTTTCTTAACTTGGTCATCGCTGAAAGACGTGTGTTGAGGCATGTACGGGGCTGCATTAGCATAGCAGCCTTACCTTAGGAGGGGAAATCCACCTCGTAGCGTCTGCGCATTCTTTTGAAAGAAATACTGTTCCACGTTATCTTTTTGGACAAGCCAAGGCAGCGCTTGAATTACATGAGCCCTCTTCCCACTCCAGGTGAAAATAATAAGTTTTTATTTGCTTGTTAGCTGTCTTTAGTTCATCATTTTTTTCGGCCTCGCTGCCATGTTTTAACACATGACCCTAATCTCGCAAGACCATGTTCGGAGTGCTATTTCACAGCATCCAAAACTAGCAAGACTGGAGCGCTTTCAAGAATGCAATGTTAAACAAAGGTTGACAAGGGTGCGTTCAAGAATGCAATGTTAAACAAACGTTGACAAGGGTGCGTTGAAGACTGCAATGTTAAACAAATGTTACGAAGAGCGCGTTTAAGGCTGCAATGCTAAACAATGTTGCGTGATCCATTGCTCCGTGAGCTACTGCTAACCAGCTAAAGATCTACCGGTAGATCCCGATCTACTGGTTGACCTGGCCTGATCTAACTGGTCCGTAGGAGCCACAAGTCTTATTGGTTGGTAGGAGATCAAGTAGTTATTTCTCTCTGCAAAATGCAAACAAATTTTTCATAATTTATACAATGTGATTTTCTGGATTTTTTTTTTCTCACTGTTAAAGTTAACCTGCCCCTAAAATTATAGACTGTTCATGTCTTTGTCAGTGGGCAAACTTACAAAATCAGCAAGAGATCAAAAATTATTTCCCCCACTGTATATCCAACTAACAAAATAGTTTTGATATTGTTTTGAGACTTATTTATTAACCAGAGCAGAATGTGTTACACTAATAATCTTATTAGCCTGGAAATTTAACTCAAATTAAGTGAAATAATCTGTYAATGGAGGAAAACATTTGTACTTGGTAAGAYTCTTAAAATAAGGACAATTTGATTCAAATTAAGTGATTTCAAGRATYTTWCYMAGGTTATTGGTTATAGTTATAAACAGTTTATTTTATGCCAAAAAAGTWAAAAAAAATCAAAACAGCCWTCTTGAAAAGGAAAATGTTYAACCTTCTATTGAGGAGCTTCTTTAATTCTCTACTGGAGAGAGGAGTTCCAAACTTTTAAACTATGGATTATGTGATGTAAACTCTCCTGCAGATGAAGTTTATGAAATCCTTTTGACAACACATAGTTTGTTCATGATGCTGAYTCACTAGTTCACACTGTGTTGTCTTAGTATGGATCTGTTTATATGCTGGTGTCTGTTTATATATTTTATTTTTTGATATAAAGTTAAAGTTTTTGGTCCATAGAATAAAAAATAGAATAGAATAGAATAAAACTGTCAGTTCTACTTGAAAATGTTAGTTGTTGCTAAAAGAGTTTAATGTTATAACCTGCAGATAGAAAAGGAAGCCATCAGTGGAGACAGCATGAGCCACTGAATGTAAAATCCTGCTAAATCTCAGACCCTCCTAGGTCTGGTACCAGTCCTGAGTCTGCGTGTCCCACAAGTCAATCTGACACCTTCAGACTGATGCTGTTTAATGAGTATACAATCCATACTGTGTCAGCAACTACCTGATAACACTACTACCACCTGAATCCTCTGGTGTCCATTCTAGAAGTACCAGTTGCACATCAAATCATTTACAGACTCGTGACTGATCTGCATCCGGATCAAACCATCCCTCCTGGGTGTTGAACTTGTTTTATCAGTAATAATTACTGTGTGAAGTATTCTGTGTGAACTGTTGAAGTCTCCGTAGGTGCTCTTTTGTTTCCTCCAGGTGCCACAGATTTCTGTGACCTCAGTTTTTCTTCTCTCTCCTCTCCAACAGAAACCTGTTAAATTAAACCAGCTTTTTGAATCTAGATGAAAATGTTTTGACTAACTGTGCTGTGAGAGAGTGGCACCAAGACATTAGACCCTTAATGATTGTTCAGGATGGATTTATTTTATTTACTTTGTGTAAAAACTAATTTACACAAAACAAACTTGTAAAAGTTGAAGTTTTTAGTGTAAAGGTGTAAAGTTTCACTGATAGCTCTGTGTGTGTTGAACAATCTGTTTATGAGTTAACATGAGTTATCTCTTGAACCAAGCGTTGTCCCCCCCTCCCTGCCTTTTTATACCTCTCTATGATTTAAGCTCATTCCTTTATGTTAGTGTGTGCTTCTGTGTATGTTTGTGTATTTCTGTGTATGTTTGTGTATTTCTGTGTATGTTTGTGTACATGGAAGGATGAATGATGCATGTATAGAACTTGTCTCTTGTCATTTCTTGTGATTTCACTTATTATGCCCCCCACCCCACCCCCAAACCCCACTGCCCCGATGTTTTCTCACRTCTCGTCCTTCTCTCTTCTAAATGCTGAAATGGGTCATCTGTCCGTGACAGGAACGAAAATGAGAACAGGTACCTTGGTGCCGGCTTGTGCACGGCTTGCGCATGTTATGGGGACCGGGTGTTTCCTGTGGGGTGGGTGGGCTTGGCAGGACTGCGGAGGAGATCAGGTGTTGTTGTTGGCTCTCTGGTCAGCCTGCAACAAGCCAACAGTTTTATGCTCCTGCTTTTTGAGCTTGTTTTAATGCACTGATGAAACATAAAGGAAAATGTTTCTAACTTAATGTAAC